GTAGAAAAATAAGTCCAGCATTATAGAATGAAACCAAAGATCAGACCCTATTCTCAGGTCCAGAACATGGGAATAGAGCAGCCGCCAGAGAATTCAACATTAATGAATCAATGGTACGGAAGTAGAGGAAGCAATAACAATGAGATGAGTAAAGTTTGACTTATCTGACTGTTTCGCTTAATGCGCCCTATAGTCCGGTGTACCTTATGGTCCGGAAAATATGGTAACTTCTACCTTCCTTTAGCATGTCCAGAAGTCCAACTTTTTGTGTGATGATTAGCATCTTCCTCTGCCTTTTGGGTGTTATCATGGGTGCTTTTGATGGTGCAAAACGTTTTGTCGACATTGTTGTGTTTGTTGGGGAGAAAACACACAGTGCAGCACTTCAGTCACACACTGCTAGCGATCGAAGATTTATGTAAATTTGACAAGCTGAACGCATTCTGTACTGTACAGGAGACACGGCATGAAGGAGATTGACTGACAATGGTCTACAGCTGATCAGGACTCAGAACACAATGCACTATTTTAAAAAGAAAAAAAAAAAAAATCTGCGAAACAGCGAGGCTCTCAAAAGGTGAACCGTGTTATAGCAAGGGACCACTGTACTGAGCAAAATTACATGTCAGTTACAAAATAACAAGTTTGACGTAGGACGTGTTTAGATTTATAGACTTACCTCTCTAGTTTTGTTGCAGAAAGGCTCAGCCATGGGGATATGACAGACACCTGGGGGACTGGTGGGCTGACCATCGTAGAGTGTTTGAGACCTCTTGGTTGTCCTACCAAACAAAAAAAAAAAAAAAAAGCAGATTTGTTTCCATGACAAAAATATAAAAACACTTAAAGATGTAAGATTAATAACTTTGTTTCTTTTTAATGAGTTTATCTGACCTAAAGTTGAGAAAAAGTGTGAAAAGATATGAGGAATAACTGCAGAAATACTGGGAATGGCCATCAAAATCATTCTAGACAACATGTCGACATGAATGAGGTACAGAAATCATTCATTTCATAATCAGGACTGTTTGGCTCAGAAATCTGCAAATTTTTGTGGCATGACCAGTTTCACAGCAGTCAGGACTATAAACGTCAACAGAATGGAAGAAGCTAGGTCTCAAGCTTCGCTATAACAACCGACCTAAAGTTTTCCCCTTCTGCTGAGTCAGTGCTGTTGCAAGAGGCAAAGTGCCAGCCTGTGTCCCCATGGTTCTTCATGGCAATAGGTCAGGATTGCACAAAAGGCTGATTCACTTATCCAAGTGACCTGAAAACATCAGGATTTCTGTGCTCCATGTAGCCTCTTAGCTTCTTTTGTATAAAGGGAATTCTGTGTGGATGCAGTTTGGACAAAGCCATGTTCTTCAATGTAGAAGAAATTTACTTCATATTACTGATTTACCAAAGTAGCCACTGTTTGCCTTCATGGCCACTTTGCACTTGTCTTGTACAGCTTGCCAGAAGTGACTTTGTGCACATTCACATGATTTCCTTTTTAACTGTATTCAAAAGCATTAGCTGCATCATGCTGAGGTTCTGCTGGTATATACCAAACAGACCCATCTGACTACTTTAGTAATCCAAAAGGTGAAAGATTACGTAAGTGAAAGAATTGTGATGATACATTGATAGTGGCTTCAAGCAGTGGTCCTGCATTATACAGCAATACACTTGCAATGAAAGATACTGACCAAATAACCAATCAAAAAGGTATGCAGCATGAAATGACGCGCTCGTCAATGGGACACCAGCACTTGTTTTTAAAATAAAGAGGGGAATTCCAGCCATGCATCAAATCTGATGATTCACGTATCAGCACACACTCCACATTGCTTTGCCTCAGTGTGCTTTGCACCTTAAGAGAAATCTCATACTTGAAAAAAATAAATCATGAAATGGCAGACCGAGTTGCCTCGGCTGCAGATCATTGGTTTTGTTTTCAACATGCATGACTAGAGCTAATGTCAGTGCTTCCCAAGATTTAAGTAGACGCATCAATTGTTCAGAGAAGGCTGTGTGACTGTTTTAACTGTTACACGGAATAATAAGGAAAGACATGTTTGGTACAAGGAACACAATGAATAGTGGAGACCTGTATGTTGGTCAAATAAGCCATAATGTTGTTTCTAACAAAATGCAGTTAAGGTGAAATGTTGACATCTGCAAGAGTAGTTTTAGTTGAAGTGGGTGTGATTGTTCTTTGGGCCGTGCTGGTGACATTGCTGGCAATTCATTTCAGATCTCAACACTTCAATGAACAAGTGAATGAACACTTCCATCTCGTTACTACTTCAGCAGGACATTAGCATAAAACACACCTACAGTCTGTGTAAGAACTAGAGGAGGAGAATTAGAGTGCTACACCTGACGGATCCCAATAAAGGAGTGCTTAATAGGGATCCTGAGACTTGAGCCTAATTGGACCACAGAATAAATAAAAAGCAGGAAAAAATGCTGAGCATGAAAAGTCTCTTAAATGCTCCAGGTGATGGCCTTATGAAGCCGTTTGAGAGAAGAGTGTGTGCAGAGCTTTTATGATAGCAAAAATCTGACTTTCAAGCTATGCCAAAAACTTGTCCAGCCAAAGGCTCTGATACCCCAGCACAAACAAAGAAATATATGGTGTATACACAGAGGATTGCTGTGAGTTCTACATTGCAGAAACCAAAACACCATCAGCTTTGAAGAATGAGAGGAGAAGAGAAGAAAAAAAAAACAAAAAAAAAAAAAACCCACCTTTACGCCTTCTAATACTCATTTTTTACTCTGTGCGTAAATCCAGATGTGGCATTTAATAGTTGTAATGTCTTTTTATATACAGCTGACTCATGGCACAGCTTATTTGTTCCTCCCCCCCCCCTTGGGGATTGCCAAATCCTAAAATAATTATCTTAGAGATCCAAAATATGAATGCCTCTGTCAGAAATCTTTTAAGCTGATGCCCAACCCCATCTCTTACTCATAACCCTGGCAGTGGAAGAATAAAAATCAGTGTTTGAAAAGAGCTCCAGAAATCTGTGTCTCAGTTTAAAACCATTAAACAATGATGTGCTGGATAAACAAGGAGATGAGTACAATGCACAAGGCTACAAAAATCAAGTTATTATGGTCTGGTGTTTCATTACCATTTTTCACTTCACAATTGCCGTTGTAGAAAATGGCACACACACCCTGTAATTATCAAACAGTATAATTACTTCAAAACTATACAAAGAATGTTGTTTGATCCCTTTTGTGGGTTCATCCTCAGGTTCAAACCAAAGTCCCTACTTGAGTCACAGTTTGAACAGTGATAACAATCAGGTTCCAAAGCAATTTAACCAGTTACCCTGCACCTGAATATTTCCTGTACAAACATATCTGAAGTATAAGAATGGATGAAGGGTGTAGGGGCTCTCAAACAGGGTGAGGAG